ATTGGAGTTGCCGCCTCAGACTCCAGGTCCTCTATGTTGTCGTCCTCCATGCTGTCCCCCTACCCCTCACAGCCAGACTCTCCGGAACCCTCCCTAGTGTCAGAAGCCTCACCTCCAACTCCAAGCCTCAGGAGGCACAGCTTCCGGTCCAGATCTGACACCTTCCACTGACCCTGGCCCTGGGCCCAGGCCCACCTGGAGTGGGCATTGCTGCCTGCCATCCAGGAAGGGGCTGGGCCCCTTGACCTCTTGCCTCAGGGTCAGTAGCCCCCAGCTGGCCTGGTTGGCTCTGGATTCTCTGGACTTTTAGACAAAGCATGGTCACCCTCGACCCTGCTCCCATTTCCAAACCTTCCCCTATCCTCCTCTGTGAGGGGAACCATCTGAGGCTGTGGAACCCAGCAGGCCTGAGATAAGACTGCGGTGCCCATTGGTCTGGGAAGATGAGATGTGCTGCTTTCCGGGACCTGGATGCAGGTAGAGATGGGGGTGCTTAGGAGGGTGGGCATGGGTCCCCAATTCAGCCTGGGAAATGAAGGCTGAGGCGAAGGCAGGTGGTAGACTCTATAGCACCAGGGAAGATTCCAGTCAGGAGATGGCTTAGTGATACTGTGATGCCCAGGTCTCTGCTGAAAGCAGTGGCATCTTGAGAGGAATACATGTGAGATCTATGTTGGTACTTGAGCAACCCAGGACGTCGTAGATCTCCCTCTCCCACAAGAAACAAACTCATGGCTCCTACCATGGATTTTCTGACTCTCACAACGTTTTAACGACACTTTTAATTAGTTACCAACATTAAAAATCTGCATTATGCAGATGACACAACCCTGCTTGCTGAAACTGAGGGGGACCTGAAGCACTTGCTGCAGAAGGTCAAGGCCTGCAGCCTCCTATATAGATTGAAGCTCAACATCAAGAAAACAAAGATTCTCACCACTGGGCCAATTGGCAGCATCAGTATGGATGGTGAAGAGACTGAAATAGTTAAACAGTTTTAGTTTACTTGGCTCCACAGTCAACACTCTTGGTAACAGCAGCCAGGAAGTCAGGAGATGAATTGCATTGGGAAAGTCAGCTGTGAGGGCCCTCTCAAGAGTACTGAAGAGCAACGATGTCAAGCTAGAGACTAAAGTGTGCCTGATCTGGGCTATAGTCTATGCAGTTACATGCTATGCATCAGAGAGTTGAACAGTGAATAGGGATGATAGAAAGAGAGTTGATGCCTTTGAGCTGTGGTGCTGGAGAAGAGTGTTGAATGGACTGCTAGGAGAACAAACAGGTTTGTCCTGGAGAGGGTGAAGCTGGAGTGCTCCTTGGAGTCAAGGATTCTGAAGCTTCATCTGACATATTTTGGGCACGTTGCAAGGAGGGACTGGTCCTTGGAGAGGGACATCATGTTAGGCAGAGTGGAGGGGCGGCAAAGGAGGGGAAGACCTTCCATGAGATGGATCGATTCTGTGACTGGAGTGGTGGGAATAAGTGTGTTTGAGATGGCTAGGTTGGCACAGGATAGAATGGCGTTTAGAGCTCTTGTACATAGGGTCACTGTGAGTTGCAGGTGACTTGATGGCACATAACAACAACATTAAAAGGGAGGAGATTTCCCATAAAAATCAAGATATCCCAATAGTTCTTTTTCAAAAATATCTGGCAACACTGGCACCCTGTTTTTGCAGTTCTTTGCTCAGGAGGGTGGAGGGACAGCACAGGAGAGGAAGACCCTTGACGAGATGGATTGATTCAGTGACTGGCGTAAAGGGGGTGGGTGTGTCAGAGGCAATAGGATTGGCACAGGCTAGAGCAGAGTTTAGGGCTGTTATACGTAGAGTTGCTATGAGTCACAGGCGACTTGACGGCACATAACAACAACAACTTCTCTCGATCATCTCCAGACATCCAGCTAGCTTCCCTTATTTAAATTTTTGGGTCCCTGTGTGTATTTGAGTCTGGAACCCTTGTGTTGGAGCATGTATGCAGGGCCCCCTCCACCCTGCTTGGTGTGTTTTGATCCCAACAGTGTTTCTTTCCCTTCTCTCTGCAGGCTGTCAATTGCGGCGGTCTCTTCTACTGCCAGCGACGTGGAAAGCAGTTCCCACAGCTCTCCCTATCTGCCATCGCCTGGACCTCAAGCCTCTTCTCCCTTCTTCCATTCTGGTCTAACGCAGGGCCCTGACAAGTTGCAAATTCATCCTGGGATCCCAGCTCTCTTCCACCACCTCACACCCTGGCCTCACTTTTGGATGGGAAATAAACTTTATTTTTTTAACTGTTGGCTCTGGCTGTTTCTGGGGTTTGGTCTCAGAGCCACAGAGCGTTAGAGGAGCCCATTTGGCAGTCACCCCCCACGGTACCCCAGGGCCCTGTTGCTGTCTCTAGGAAAGGGAAAGGCGCCAGCCAATCCACTTGGCACCATATTCACGCCACTAGGGGCCCCAGGGATGAGAGAGAAGCCTTAATGAGTCACTGTGGGCTCCTTATACCCCTTCTTGCCCAGTCCCAGCTACAGATTAACAAGTACAGGACCTAGTGCAGGTCCACGTCTAGCCCAGGAGACTCCTCACCCTTCCTGTGGTGGCACTTGTTGTTGCAGGATTGGGTACATTAGGGTCTGAGGGAAGAATTTATCACTAGCCAAGAACTGGGTGGGAATTGCACTCTGTCCCACCCCTTCTGCCCTCACAAGCCTTTTCTTTCCTTAGTTTTCGCTTGCTTTGATGATCAGTGGAGGACAGTGGGGGTGTGGTGGATGAGAGCTGGAGCGGTACAGGGAGATGCAAATACAGATGTTGTTTGGGAGGCACCCCAATAGCCTGATGGAATTATATGTGTACACATTATGTGCCAGGATGCTCCAGATAGACCTGTTCTCCAGCTCGTACTCCAGGGCACAACTGTTGGCTGGTGTCATAGGAACCACGTCCACAGGTGTCTCTAGGGTAAACTTCAGTTCCATACTGGTGTTGAGTGGTGGCCCTGGAGATGGGATGCTGAAGCAGTGGAGGCATTCATTTGTCTTGAGGGAGGGACTGGGCAGAAAGGGTCTGAATCCAAATTGAGGGGCACAGAGGCAAAATAGTCATGATACATTTGGAGGGAGGAGGAAGGGAGCTCAGCAAGCAAAAATGTCTCTAGTCCATTTATAGATAGGGAGAACTGAGATAGCTGAGCCCAGTATTTGGTGTCAGAGTAAGTGAGAAGTTGGGGGAGGTATGGGTGGTCTTGATTTATGGCTAGGTGGGGGTTAGAGTTTTCCTTTTGATCTCACCCAATAACATAATAGAAAGCCCCAAACAATTCACGTCCCAGAGTTGCTGTAGCCAGTGTTTTCTCTCAGTGAGTACCTGAGATTGGTCCACATGCCCTTAAGTACACGTTCATTCACACCACGTTTTTTTGCTCCCCAATTTCACACACAGGGAGTTCTGGTGGCTTAATGGTAGGTGGCTTAATGGTAAGCCAACACAAAGGTGGTTTTTATGTGCCATCGAATCACCTGCGACTCCTAGAGACCCTATGTACAACAGCCCTAAACCCTGCTCTATTCTGTGCCATTTTTACTGTCTCTGACACACCTCCCCCCATTATCCCAGTCACAGTCAATCCATCTCATTGAGGGCCTTCCTCTCCTGCACTGTCCCTCTACTCTCCCAAGTATGACTGGTTCTGCCTTGCAACATGTCCAAAGTATGTGAGACTAAACTTCAGAATTCTTGCCTCCAAGGAGCAGCCTGATTTCACCCTCTCTAGGACGAATATGATTGTTCTATCTAGCAGTCCATGGTGTAGTCAATACTATTCTCCAGCACCACAGCTGAAGGCATCAATTCTCCTTCTGTCTTCCCTAGTCATTGTCCAGCTTTCTGACGCATAGCAAATAATTGTGAAGACTATGACCTGGATCATGTGCACCTTAGTCTCCAGACTGACATCATTGCTCTTCAGTACTTTGGCGAGGTCTCTGACAGCAGACTCTCCCAATGCAGTTTGTATTTTAATTCCTGGCTGCTGGTACCAAGAGCGTTGATTGTAGAGCCAAGCAAACTAATGCTGTTAACAATCTCAATCTCTTCACCGTATGTCATGATGCTGCCAATCAGCTCAGTGGTGAGAATCTTTGTTTACTTGATGTTGAGCTTCAACACATATTGAAGGCTGTAGTCCTTGACCTTCTGCAGCAAGCACTTCAGGTCCTTCTCAGTTTCAGAAAGCAGGTTTGTGTCATCTGCATAATGCAGATTTTTTATAACTCTTAACTCCATTCCTGATGCCACATTTCTCCTCATAGAGCCCAGCCTCCTGAATAATCTGTTCTGCATATAGATTAAAAAGGTATGGAGACAGGACACATCCCTAGCATAAACCCTTTCCAATTTTGAACCATGCATTGTTTCCTTGCTCTGTTCTGACGACTGCCTCCAGGTCCAAATACAGGATCACATAAGCATGTTCAAGTGCTCTGGATTCCCATTCTTCTCAGAGTTAGCTACAGTTTGTTGTGATCCACACAGTCAAATGCCTTTGCACAGTCAATGAAACATCAAGGTACAGGGTTCTAATCTATCAGCAGCTCCGCAGGAGAAGCTGGACAGTCTCCTACCCTGTGATTACCTGCCTCTGAAAACCCGTTTGAGGGTCAGCTGTGGGTCGGCTCGCACTCACAGCACACAAAACAATTCTGCGCATACAGGCCCTAGCTCTCTTCCAGTGCTTCAGCAATAAGCCTTCCCTCTGGGCTGGTGGAAGCCGTGGTGACGCGGTTGGCTGACCAAACCTTATGAAGGTCCCCGCCCTGCTCCGCCTTGCCGGCAGCCGACTCCACCCTACACCCAAGTCTCCGGCGGCCACCAACTCCTCCCAGAGCTGCGAACTACAAGTCCCGACATCCACCGCGCGCGCTCTCTCCCGCCTCTCCCGCACCGCCCACCGCCGGGACTTGTGGGCCTACCAGAGTGCTTTCCATTGGTCTCTTTGTCCTGTCAGTCACCTGGGAGCCTCAGGGGGCGGGGCGAAGGCGGAGATCCGGATCCGGAGCGGCTGAAAGGCGGAAGTGGAGGCCGGAGCCTGGGACACCGCCGGGGGGAGAGAAGCGGAGCCTGTCCGAACCCCGGCCCCGAGTAACGCCGCCGCCCGGGAGCCGCGGTGAGTGTGTGTGTTCGAGACCCAGAGTCTCACCTGCGTTCAAGTCTCTCTAGGGCAACCCTTCTTCCCGCCCAACCTCGGCTTAGGGGGACACTGGCCCCTCCCAGGCTCTCTGGGCTTGACCCCTCCCCCGACCCGTAGCCCCTTTTTAAGGGACTCCCCAGGCATCGAGCCAAAGGAGTACCCTTCTTTCCTTCTTTTAAGTGCTCCTCGGGAGCCTTGGGAAAGACCCCATGGCCCTCCTCTGGCTTGTCCATGGCAGTTGTAGGAAGAGACCCTAAGTTCCGATCTCCTGCTTCCAGGATTGGAGGAACCTTTGCTGTCTGTGAAGGAACCTGTCCCCCTTCTCTTTTAGAGGGGGAGGGTAGTGCTGTCTGTCGTCATTTTCTTTACCTGTGATCCCAAAATCAATTGTCCCTTCTCATTTGTAGAATTTTGACAAGATTTACTTTTGAGTGAGGTTTGGATGAGACCATTCCACAAGCACAGAAGTGTATTGACTCCCTCACCCCGCAACTGTGTACTTTTCTTTCCTTGGATCCAGATAGGATCTAAGCAGAGTTTGAAGTCTGGGTCACTTACTAGGAATTAGCTGCCTTGCTCCCTTCACCTCAGCCCTGTCCTCTAGTTATATCGCTCTCTTAAGTGTCTCTCTTCCTGCCTCGGAAGAATTTAGCTGAGGTTTGCTCAATCCTAGCTGCAGATCACAGATCAGGGTGGATCGCCCATTCATTATCCTCCCCAGCCCCTCCTCTTCCCCCTTACTCCAGGCTCAGTCCTCTCCAGCGTGCCTGAGTGGTTTCTCCCATGCTCAAACGGACTGCTCTTCCTAAGACTGCTGCTGACTGGCCTATAAGGAGGAGAATAAGGCCAAAAGGGGCCTGGGCTCTTACCTCCAAACACCCCCACCCCCTATGCTGAGCAACAGGTCCACGTCACTGCTATTCCCAGGGTCTCTCTCCGATCCTGTCTGGGCTTTGGAAAACTATAGATTACAGAGAGATGAGTCAAGAACACAGTGGCAACTCTGCATTCATATGCTAATTTTTTGTATCAGTTAGTAACTTTTGTATATTAGCCAAAGGAATTCCCATACACATCAGAAAGTGCTGTTCTTCTGAACTTCCCAAGAGTCCGACTGGACTGACATGTGATCCTTGTCTGTTGCTTGGGACTGAGGTGTGTGAAATGGCTGCTGTCTCCGACCAAGCTGGGAGGTTCTTTGTTATGTGGCCAAAGTACAGGCCAGTATACCTTGATGAGAAACAGCCCAACTCTTTGAGGCCAGCACTGACCCTTGCTGCCTACAGTAGAGGGAGCTTGGGAAGGCCATGCCATTCCTGGTGTACTTGTAGTTCTTCAGGATTCTAGACCAACTTTCCCAGCCTTGGATGCTGGTTAGAGGTATTATAGTGGTGAGGGATTTTTTGGTTTGTTTGTTTTTTTTCCTTGAGATTGTCTGACTACTTTTAGACTGATGTCTGACTTTTGCTGTCTTTTGAGCTAAGTTGGGATGCACTTAGTTCCATGCAACAGCTAGATCACAAGTTCCATCTGTAGGCTTCTTTGGGGGACTGTTGGATCTTCTGTGACCAACCTGATTTCTCTAAGCCAGTCAGTCTGTGCCTCAGGGGCAGAGAAGAGAGACCTGACTGCCTATCTATCGGCTGTTAGCCTCTGACCAAACTCACCTTACTAATGCCCTGTGATTTGGGAAGCTCTTCGGGTGATTTGGGATGAGACTGACAATCCCTGAGAGACTTTCTTTCTTTTTCCTGAGTGTGCCTTCCCAGCTGATCTGGAACAGGCTTGGAAAGAGAAGAGGTTTAGTAATCAGTAGTGCTCCCTCCAGGCAGTATGTCACCGTTCCTGACCTCCAGAGAGTAGAGTCCAGGCAGAGTTCTGACACTGGTGATGAAGTTAGGGCTCTGTGTCAGTCAGAAATCCCTCCTCCTCGTCTACAGTTTTGCTCCTCTTCTCAATTTAATCTCAAAACAATTTGGCCTTTTTTAAAAAAAGAAAGAAAAAACAAACTAGTTGCTGTCAAGCTGACTTCCAATTCATGGTGATTCAGTAAATATGGAGCAGATTGTACGCAGTTTGTACCACACTGGCACCATCCTGCCTCTAGACGAGTTATAACAACTCATTTTTTCAGAAATCGCTTTAATGTTACCAAGTTCTTTTCACACTTGTTCCCCACAAGAATCCTGTGAGAGCTTAGAATTTGTATCCCTGTTTCAGAGATGATGCAGAAGGAACTGAAGTAGGTTGTATACGATTATACAACTAGAAAGTGATAGAGGCCAGATTAGATTAGGGACTAGGGCTAGATATGAACTCATCTTCCCTATTACTGGACCGCTGTTCAGTCTGTTTGTAAAATGAATGAGCTTGCCTGACAAGGTAAGTGAGCAGTGGCCTTTACCGGGGCAGCCTGCAGATTCTTAGTCCTTCACCATGCCTCGTCAGACATCCCTTCTCTGCCTCCATTTTCTTCTCCCACCCCTGCTCTAACCCACATCCTCTTTCTTCATCCCTTTTCCTTCTCTTCTGCCTTTGGAGCCAGTACTTTTCAGAGCCCAGGAGATTGCTGACATCTGCATGCAGTTAATTTCCTAGAACCTATAGTCAAAATGCTTAGAATATGAAAGTAAAAGTGAGTGGGGTCCCACTGGGCAGGGCGGAGGGGTAAGAGACCAGCAGAACTGACTTCTAATTCGTCCTTTAAGTCTCCCATGGTGCTCCCTACCACTCGTAGGTGGCAGGTGAGGAGATTGTAGCTCTTCCCCAGGAGCTCTTTCCCCTGAATTTTCTGACAGATGGAAATGAAGCAAGGTCACACATTTAAATTCAGCCCCACCAAGTAAGGACTTCTTAGAAAAGACCTTCTTCCTCTGTCTCTTACAAGGTAAGCAGGGTGGCAATGCGGTTGGTGGAAGAGTCAGCCAGACCCCCAAGTTCACATCTGAGCTGTGCCGTCTGCTGGTTGTTGTGTGCCCTTGGCATTATTACTTGACCTCGCTGAGCCCCTGCTTTTTCACATAAGAGGGCAAGTAAATATCTTGCAGAATTGAAAACAAAGAGTAAAGGAGTCCATCCAGTACCTGGCACAGGAGGTGGTGGCTGGTTGCTGTTGAGTCAGTTCCGACTCAGCACAGCTCCATGTGTGGAGAGTAGAATCGCTCCACAGGGTTTTCAAGGCTGTGACCTTCCAGAAGCCGATCGCCAGGCCAGTCTTCTGTGGCACCTCTTGGAAGAGTCGCTTGGAACTGCCACCATCTTGGCTGGTAGCCAAGCACTTCTTCCATCACCCATAAACCCTTATTGGAGCTCAGCACAGGTACCCTAAAATTAGCAGTTGCTATTTTACGGTAGAAGTAGGGTTTTGAAGGTGCGTTATGATTTATTGCTAGGATTTTCATTCAACATATGGACCAAATTACTGCTATGATGTCCAGTGTATTATTGATGATTTCACCATTGAAATTTGATAGCTATTTATTTCCTAGAGTTATTGTAACACATGACCATCAACTTGGTGGTTTATACAGTGTACTTATATTCTCTCACGGTTGTGGACGCTGGAAGTCAAATCCAAAAGGAGTTGGCAAGTGTGTGCTCTCACTGAAACTTCTAGGAGGGTATCCTTCTTTGCTCTTCTGAGGTTCTGGTGGCTTCGGACACACCTTGTAGCTGCACCTCAGTCTCTTCTGTGGTTGATACATGGCAGTCTCCCTGTGTATTGCTCTGTGTTTCTTCTCTTTTTTGGTATTAACTCAGAAGTTCATGAATTTTATTGGTCAGATAAAACCAGAGATGAGCATGTGTTTGTGTCAGCATCATCTTATGTCTTGGTGACTAATCTGATTACATAGAATGAAGCCTTCAGGCTTTTCTAGTCTCTATACTGAACACTGAAGGCACCACCAGGATCACTTAGTCACAAGATTTCTGTGCTGGATCAGTTCTGTCACTTGCAGAGGCTTCTCAAAGATATGCTTCTGTCAGTGGTCCACTGAAGTACTGAGGTTGGAGCTACGACTGAAGATATCTGCACAGTCGCTGTATTAACAGAGCTCTTCTCCTCAAGGCCATCACTGCTCTGTGGTGAGATGAGACTTCCTGTGGAATGGACAGAATCTACACATTTCTCTCTTTTTTGTGTTTTCTTTAATGTGAATGATCTGTGCTGCTTCTTTTAAGTTAGAGTGGATTTAGGACTTATCCTAACCCCATGTGATCTCATCTTAACTTGATTGCCTCTGCCAAGGCCTATTTCCAAATAAAGTTCCATTCCCAGGCTCCAGGAGACATGACTGGGGGGAGTGGGGTGTGTGTGCACACCAGCATTCAACCTGGCACCGTAGTAGTCCCATTTTACAGAAGGAAATGCTGAAGCTATGACTAGGCTTCTCACACTTGGGTATTTGGACCCTTCTGGCATCATACGCCATGAATATGTGAATACTCAGAGCCAGTCTGAATGGGGACTGCATCTTCCAGCACGTCGGTACTACTCAGCTTGAAATGTTTCCATGTTGAAACAGACTTGGCTGTATTTATAGCCTGGAATGCAAAAGATTGCATGAATTTAGACTAAAACCAGGAACTTGAAGACAGTGTTTCACTTGTGGCAGATTGCTTGGGGTTTGATCATGATTCCTGGGATTTTGCATTTCCCTTGATTTGAGTCAAGAGTGCTTTTTAGAGCAGGTTTTAAAGCAATTCAAACTCAAACTCACTGCCATCAAATTGCTTCAACCCATAGCGACTTCACATTGGGTTTCTGAGGCTATAATTTTAATAGGAGGTGATTGCACATCTTTCTCCCTCAGAGTAGCTGGTGGAAGGAGCTCTGGTGATGTAGTCTGTATCACTTTGCTCTGCTAATCAAAAGTTATCAACTAGGATGTCACCAAAATCCAGATAATGAGCCTTTCAAAAACCTTGTCACAGGAGAGTGAGAATACTTTCTTAAAGGCATCCTCTATATGAGT